ATTTTCATAACTTGGACAGAGGTATATAATACATGTAATGTTTTTTTTATGCCACAGAACTGGCTTTCTGTACTGGCTTTCTGTACATTGGATGAATTTAAACTTTGAAATTCACAAACTTTGAGATTCCAAATATCAAAATTCATTAAGATTTCCCAATTCCACATCAAAATTCACTTTAAATGCAGACATGTAATTTTTTTTTTCCACAGAAGCCTTAATTTTCTTGACTTGGACAGAGGTATATAATACATGTAATGTCTTTCTGCCACACAAGCCTTAATTTTCATTACTTGGACAGAGGTATATAATACATGTAATGTCTTTCTGCCATACAAGCCCTCGTTTTCTTGACTTGGACAGGGGTAGACAATAATGTCTTACTGCCACACAAGCCTTAATATCCATGACTTGGACAGAGGTATATAATACATGTAATGTCTTTCTGCCACACAAGCCCTAATTTTCTTGACTTGGACAGGGGTAGACAATAATGTCTTATTGCCACACAAGCCTTAATTTTCATGACTTGGACAGAGGTATATAAAACATGTAATGTTTTTCTGCCACACAAGCCTTAATTTTCTTGACTTGGACAGGGGTATATAATACATGTAATGTCTTACTGCCACACAAGCCTTAATATCCATGACTTGGACAGGGGTATATAATACATGTAATGTCTTTCTGCCACACAAGCCTTAATTTTCTTGACTTGGACAGGGGTATATAATACATGTAATGTCTTACTGCCACACAAGTCTTAATTTTCATGACTTGGACAGAGGTATATAATACATGTAATGTCTTTCTGCCACACAAGCCTTAATTTTCTTGACTTGGACAGGGGTATATAATACATGTAATGTCTTACTGCCACACAAGTCTTAATTTTCATGACTTGGACAGAGGTATATAATACATGTAATGTTTTTCTGCCACACAAGCCTTAATTTTCTTGACTTGGACAGGGGTAGACAATAATGTCTTACTGCCACACAAGCCTTAATTTTCTTGACTTGGACAGGGGTATATAATACATGTAATGTTTTTCTGCCAGACAAGCCTTAATTTTCTTGACTTGGACAGGGGTAGACAATAATGTCTTACTGCCACACAAGCCTTAATTTTCTTGACTTGGACAGGGGTATATAATACGTGTAATGTCTTTCTGCCACACAAGCCTTAATTTTCATAACTTGGACAGAGGTATATAATACATGTAATGTGTTTTTTATGCCACAGAACTGGCTTTCTGTACTGGCTTTCTGTACATTGGATGAATTTAAACTTTGAAATTCACAAACTTTGAGATTCCAAATATCAAAATTCATTAAGATTTCCCAATTCCACATCAAAATTCACTTTAAATGCAGACATGTAATTTTTTTTTTCCACAGAAGCCTTAATTTTCTTGACTTGGACAGAGGTATATAATACATGTAATGTCTTTCTGCCACACAAGCCTTAATTTTCATTACTTGGACAGAGGTATATAATACATGTAATGTCTTTCTGCCATACAAGCCCTCGTTTTCTTGACTTGGACAGGGGTAGACAATAATGTCTTACTGCCACACAAGCCTTAATATCCATGACTTGGACAGAGGTATATAATACATGTAATGTCTTTCTGCCACACAAGCCCTAATTTTCTTGACTTGGACAGGGGTAGACAATAATGTCTTATTGCCACACAAGCCTTAATTTTCATGACTTGGACAGAGGTATATAAAACATGTAATGTTTTTCTGCCACACAAGCCTTAATTTTCTTGACTTGGACAGGGGTATATAATACATGTAATGTCTTACTGCCACACAAGCCTTAATATCCATGACTTGGACAGGGGTATATAATACATGTAATGTCTTTCTGCCACACAAGCCTTAATTTTCTTGACTTGGACAGGGGTATATAATACATGTAATGTCTTACTGCCACACAAGTCTTAATTTTCATGACTTGGACAGAGGTATATAATACATGTAATGTTTTTCTGCCACACAAGCCTTACTTTTCTTGACTTGGACAGGGGTAGACAATAATGTCTTACTGCCACACAAGCCTTAATTTTCATGACTTGGACAGAGGTATATAATACATGTAATGTTTTTCTGCCACACAAGCCTTAATTTTCTTGACTTGGACAGGGGTAGACAATAATGTCTTACTGCCACACAAGCCTTAATTTTCTTGACTTGGACAGGGGTATATAATACATGTAATGTCTTTCTGCCACACAAGCCTTAATTTTCATGACTTGGACAGAGGTATATAATACCTGTAATGTTTTTTATGCCACACAAGCCTTAATTTTCTTGACTTGGACAGGGGTAAATAATCTTTCTGCCATGACAAGCTCCTTGGCTTTTCATTGGATCCTCCACAGCATTGGAATATTATTGCATTACCTGTATTATATGTGTGTGATGTTTCTATTCAATGAGGAAAAAAGATAAATCAATTTTTTGGTCATTCAAAAGTCACAAATAAATAGTTGTATACTTTTTGGACATCAAGTTTTTTAGGCACACAAGCCTTAATTTTCTTGTCTTGGACAGGGTAGCTGATCGTCTTTTCTGCCACACAAGCCTCAATTTTCACGACTTAGGCGGGTAAATGATGTGTTTTTGCGGGACACAAGCCTTAATTTTCCTGACTTGGATAGAGGTAGACAATAATGTCTTTTGGGCATACAAGCCTTAATTTTAATTTTAAAAACCAGTCTCAACACATATTGTATTAAAAAACACACAAGATGCATTTTCATTTAATTTTAGACAAACACACAAGAAGTTGGGAATTAAGACACACAAGTAGTCTTTAGAAGGAAAAAATGAAAAGACACACAAGATACCCCTTTTTTTCAGACACACAAGACAAAAATCTCACAAGCATACTGTCGTGAGTAGTACCGTCCGTCCGTCCGTCCGTCCGTACGTCCGTCCGTCCATCCCGTTTGACCGTTATCACAATATCTCAAGAACCATTTAAGATTTAAACTTAAGACTCGGGAATAGTATTTATCACCATAGGAAGACGATCTGATTAGATTTTGGAGTACGTAGGTCAAAGGTCACAGGTCACAGAGGTCAACTTATGAAATTCCTTGTATTGAGTTTGTTAGCGCGATATCTCAAGAACCATTTGAGATTTAAACTTCAAACTTAAGGATAGTATGTATCACCATAGGAAGACGATCTGATTAGATTTTGGAGCACGTATGTCAAAGGTCAAGGGTCACAGAGGTCAACTTATGAAATTCCATACATTGAGATTGTTATCATGATATCTCAAGAACCACTGGAGATTTAAACTTCAAACTTAGTGATAGTGTGTATCACTATAGGAAAACAATCTGATTAGATTTTGGAGCACGATTGTCAAAGGTCAAGGGTCACAGAGGTCAACTTATGAAATTCCATACATTGAGATTGTTATCATGATATCTCAAGAACCACTGGATATTTAAACTTCAAACTTAGTGATAGTGTGTATCACTATAGGAAAACAATCTGATTAGATTTTGGAGCACGTAGGTCAAAGGTCAAAGGTCACAGGGCTCATTATGTATGCAAAAACAGCTCGTGATCGCGTTATCTGAACAACCGATTGATGGATTCCTGCCAAACTTTGGTCATGTATGTATCTTGCAGAGCTGATGAACTGATTAGATTTTGGGGTCACGAGGTAAAAGGTCAAAGGTCACAGGGCTCATTATGTATGCAAAAACAGCTTGTGATCTAGTTATCTGAAGAACCGATTGATGGATTCCTGCCAAACTTTGGTCATGTATGTATCTTGCAAAGCCAATGAACTGATTAGATTTTGGGGTCACGAGGTCAAAGGTCACAGCGCACATTGTGTATGCAAAAACAGCTCGTGATCGCCTTATCTCAAGAACCGATTGATGGATTCCTGCCAAACTTAGGTCATGTATGTTACTTGCAGAGCTGATGAACTGATTAGATTTTGGGGTCATGAGGTAAAGGTCAAGGTCATGCGGCTCATTATGTATGCAAAAATAGCTTGTGATCGTATTATCATTAGAACAGATTGATGGATTCCTGCCAAACTTAGATCATTTATGTATCTTGCAGAGCCAATGAATGGTTCATAAGATCAAAGGTCATGGGCTCATTATGTATGCAAAAATAGCTTGTGGACGCATTCTCATTAGAACTGACAGATGGATTACTATTTATCTCAGGAAATCTTGCAGAGCCAATGAACTGAGTAGATTTTAGGGTCATGAGGTCAAAGATCAAAGGGTCATATATGTATATGAGAAATTGCTTGTAATCACGATATTCTGAGAACATGTTAATGGATTACAATTGAACTTGAATTTGAAAAATTTCTTCCGTTTCGGTTTGTAAAATTGCTCTATGACGGAGGCATCATTTTCGACTGCGCGCAGTCGAATTCCATCTAGTTTTCGTCATGTGTCGCAAGACTATTTTTATTATCATGTTAACAGAAACAGATTTTTTAGAGATGTGCAGCTCATGAGCACTGCTGTTACCTTGTAATGCAATTGTACATAGACATGGACATGGTTTGTAGAATCAGTATGAAATGAGAAACTTTACAGATAAGCTTGAGTTCTGGTAGTAATAGAAAATAGATTCTCACAGAACCCATCAAAACTTACACTGGATGTTCAAGATTACAAATAAATGATATGTGCCAAATGATTGTGGAAGAAAATGTATAGGGGCTGAGTAATGAGCATAGAAAGATAAGGAAATCAAGGTAAGTTGGCCCGACGCCATTGTGCTTAACAAATGTCACTATGTGTGCAAGAGAGTAGTGGTTTTTATTGAAGATGATTTTCAGCAAGTTTTTGTGAGGTCGTTTTTATTTTACTGGTTCAAAAAATCTGCAGGATAAACAATCCAGAAAGAATTATAGCCATGTTGTCACAACAAACGATGGCCATACCAGGGCTCAAGATTAGCTTTAATGACCCATTCATTACCCCCCTAATCTTATAGGTATCAGAGACTGGGAAAGGGAGAGGAGGAGGGAAGAAGAAGGGCAAAGCTCAAACTCACAAAGCAATCAACTTGAAGCATGCTCCATACCTTCTACGAGATGGAGACGTGTTTGGTGTCGTGGTAAGTTTCATTTTGCAAAGTCCCAACTTTTCTCTTCCAGCTACAGTCATACCAGCTTTAGTGACCACCTGTATAGAAAGACAACCTGTATAGAAAGATCACCTGTCTACAAAGACCATATTTTTTGTTTCCCTTGAAAATGGTTTCTCATTGTAACATGTTCTAAAGGAACCTGTATATAAAGATCACTTTCTTGTCTCCCTTGGGTGGTCTTTATAGACAGGTTTCACTGTTTAATGAATTGGGCAGGAGGATCTGTGATGATAATGTCCACTTTATTTTCAACGGCCTGGCAAACATGTGTAATATCTGGGCATTTTCTTGTCTACAATTTTTATTTGGCCTTCTAGAAATGCAGATCGGGATACCAGAGCCAATGATATCTAAAAACTAGATGGGTGCATCAGTTGTTGGTTTGTCGTAAAAATGCAATTTGTTTTCTGAACTATTATACATTTGAAAATGCATCTGGAAAAAGAAAATAGATCAGAAGATCAGAATACAAAGTGAGATTATGTAGTTAGCAATGTTGATAAATATAGGTAGTCCCTTTGATTATTACTACACTAGTTTGATCATATTTACAATTTTAGAGCTATTCATACTGCATTACTAAATGAATATTACATTTTGTTCTTTTTCAAAATCATCATTGATTTTCCGTGTATAATCTCTTCACTGTGTTCTCAACGCAGCTGTCAAGCTATTCAAACTACTCTCAAATCTAATCGTATATTTAATTTTTTATCTTTTGTAATGCAGGACTTAAAAGATGACCCTTTCAGGAAGGATGACTTCACAACCATCGAAGATGATAGAGAGAAGGAGCGAAAGGAGGAGGTAGAGCAGGAGAAGAGAAGAAATAGACGTGATAGAAGGAATGCAGTTTCCCTCGGTGGAGGAGAATCTAAGGAGAAATCAAAGAAGAGACAAGAGATTGGGCTGATGATCAAGGTTGATAACTTTAGGTGACATCAGATACCATAGGCTCAGAACATCAATGCAATCAGTAGGAAAGAGTTATAATGAGGAATCAACATGAAATATTTGTGAGAACAGAGCTATTGGATGCTATCTAGGGCCCTGTTGTATAAAACTTACCATTGATGGTAACTTGCCATCATGATAACAGGGCTCAACAGCCAATCAAAATTAAGGTTCTTATACTAGTTACCATTGTGCAACGGAGCCCAGAGGTTGTGACAGATTCGTTTTGCTGTGTCAATCCTGTTTATGTCTTTATATGTCATATCGATCTCGTTGTAACGGTTATCGATTTGCCAGCACAATCTTCTTCTAAGTCTTTGAAATGCAATCAAAATGTTGTTAGATGCCATCTATCTGTAACAATCATTGAAATGCCATGGATGTTATTCAAGATTCCACCCATTGAGATGCCATCTACGTGTGAGTATTGTAAGTCTTTGTGATGTGCACTGAATGTGGTTACATAGAGATGCCATCAAAGGAAAGTGTGATAAAGTGGAATTAAACTATATATGAACAATTGTTTGATGCCATCTAAATATTGTTTTAAGTTTTTGAGATACCATGTACTTGGGTCTAGATGTCATTATAATGTTGTTGTTACAGTTATTAAAATTCCATCGTTGTTCCTTAAATGCTCTGAGCATCGAAATTGGTAGTCTAGCAGAGCCGGGATAATATCGGAGTGCCTTGAGCACCTTGCGTGGTGGATATGTGAGGTATAAAGATATCCAACAATATTTCTATTATCATTATTACAGTTATTTACTGTAGATGGCAAAATACTGTGTTTAGGCATTTACAATAACTGTAGATGTAATCAAATTGTTAAACAGTCATTGGAAAAAAAATCAATTATTTTTGTACATATTCATTTACGTGCCATGATCTGCCATCCAAATATCTGAAATGTCTTTCTGACGGCATCTGACTTCTTATTAAACAGTCACTGATATCCTATCTTCTAAGTGTCATTTCTTTCCAAGGCAGCTCTATTTAAGATGCCTTCATCATGGATTGTTTTCTGCATAAACATGTCACCAAGTTATTCTAAATATCATGACAAATTTTTAGAATGACAAAATGACAAAAAGTTATACAGGATTGGGGATGATGACGTGCATATCCTCTCGTAATGTAAGATGATTATGCTTAGGGGGGGGGGGGGGGGGGGGGGGGGGGAGGGGTATTGCTATTTTTAATTGGACTTTAATCCAATATAACAATATTGAAATGATGTTGTCAGTATTGTTATTGATTCATGTTAAATTCTGGTCACTGTCTCACTATTGTTTTGATATTAAAAGGAAAATTATGTGATTAAAATGATATTCCTGAGAGTAGCACAATCCTGTCTGTGACATACATGTATAAGGGGCTAGATTTTAACTTTATTTAACTTTATTTTGTTAACTTCATGTTGAAGAACCCTTGATATTGGACAGCTCAGTTTCCACATTTTAATGTTTTCCATTTGATAAGGACTTTCAGACTTCCAGGTCGTATTGTTATCTGACATTGATGTCTTTGGATTTTATGACTCGTGCTCCAGTGACGACTGTGTCAGTATTATTACTATCTGACGGTATATATTTTCAGATGTATGTTTTTCAAGTTCGGCAATCTACTGTCAATTTTATTGCAATTGAAGGGCAGTTCAACCATTGTTAGAAGTTCATTTGTACAAAAGCAGAAGAATTAAGATAAAAAGAATGGCGAAGTTTGAAATAAATCGTACCAATAATAAGAAAGTTATGAATGTTTGAAATATTTGATCACAAAGTCTTTGCAAATTTAAAATTGGCAGTTTGGTCAGTGGACAACTTTCCAGTTTGTTGTGTACAAAAATATCATTAATTTCTATTTTATTCCTAAGTGTCTTCTCCCTTGGGGCACTACTCTAAATAAAAATAGATTATGGATAGCCTGTGATTATATGTTTTCTAAAGAAAATAGACCCTTCCAAGTCAAACGTTTTTGAAAAATTGAAATTTTAGTAATTTTGTGTGTTGGAACAAATTGGAAAGTTGTCTGCCACTACATCACAGAGACATAAATGATTCAGCCAATTTAAAGAGCCCATACATGTAGAGATTGCAACTTTATATATCAAGTTCATCAATTTCTCTCTTTTGGTCTGGTTTAACTCCAACTTTCACAAGTCTACTCTGATGTTCTGGTTTTCTCTAGCACAGTTTGCTATCAAAGATAAATATCATGTGCAAATATAGTTCTCTGTTTTTTTCAATGTGTTTTACTGGCATACATGTACACTACATGTATAAGTGTTTGTGTAAATAATGTTGAGATACATTATTGGCACTCTAGTTTGATATATAATTTTGTAATGAATGCAAAGCATTCAGTTATGTACTGTATTGTTTGTTAAGCATCATTTGTGCCTGGGAGGGAAAAAGCAAATTTGATCACTATATGCTCCAGGGCAGCGTGTCAGGAAACCATCATAAGTACAGGTTCACCGACTCCTATTGAAATGAGTGTAATGTTATGCACACACGTTTTAATGATATGTCAGACCTTTCGTGAAACGTAACCCAGGGCCCCGTCTTACGTCATAAGCACGTCATAAGCCTAATTTGGCTTCAAACTCATTTTTTTTTTTTTTTTTAAACTCTGGGAAATGCTTTATTTTTATGCATATTATAGAATCATTTACGAAGTGAATAAAGCCTACTTGGAAATAACTTTATTTTTTTATAATTCCTATTGTCTTTTTCTTTTTAAATGGATGATTATGACAGTGATTCATGTACATCATCGTTTGGTGGAGGTAATGATGATGATAGCAGTGAGGATGATGTTTTTATTTTATTTTATTTTCTTCTGCTTTCATGTAAGTTTACAGTTTTTCTATAACAATAATGTAAAGTACAATAAGTATTTTACTGACAATGAATCATAAATTAGTAAATACATAATATATATATAAACTGTTATTTTCAAAAACGAAATGATAAACTGTAACAAATACTAAATTTCCTCAAACATTATAATACATTATATGTTTGCAGATTGTAAGCAGATTGCTTGATAATACAAACAGCCCCAGACAAAAACTCATAGAATATATTAACACATTTATTATTAAGCAGAAACGGATAAGTAATTGAAAATACAAATTTCATTGATGGTGATGCAGATGAGGATGATGATGATGATGAAGATGATGATGATGATGATGATAAAGATGAAGATGATGATGATGATGATGATAATGATGATGGTGATAGCAGTGAGGATGATGTTCATCATGATGAAGATGATGATAATTTATTGATCATAAACATGGGTATAGGCCTATTTGATGTATGTAGAGCAGTTTGGTTCAATCTAAATGCACAGTAGAAAAGTATGCAGCTATATAAAGGACATAGAGTTAAATAATTGCTTTCATTTTTCTAATCGCTGGTTGTTAAATGCTAAAAACTGTTAATCAGTGATTTTTTTCTTCTTGCCAAATGAGTTTGAAGTGGAGTTCATCAAGTTGTAATGATCATTTGTTAACGATTAACCGCTTTCTTCTCATAGAAAAATATACTATTGATATGTTTTCTGATTTAAGCTAACTGTAAATCAATTAGAAATAAATTGGCCGAATTAAAAAAAAAAAATTATTCAGTTTATTTTTCCTTTATGATTTGTGTTTTCTGTCATACCCTTATATTAAAGTTGTGCAATCGGACCATCTGTCTTCATTCAATGCGGACGGTGTGGGTAAGTAAATTATTTAGTTGTAATTTTATCAAGTAAACTAGCCAAAAAATTAACCAGGCGATATTTTTTATGAAATAATGAATAATTAATGAAAAGTGTTTGATTTTTCTAGAAATTGACGACCCACAATTGCCACTGGGTAGACTTCGAAAATACGACCTGTACCGCACTTGTCCCCACACATTTATTTTGGTGTTAGCAGATTTCGAAGTTAAAATTTTACGTCGCCGTCATCCTGCGAGCGAAGCACCACCGCGACGCAACGGCAACTGTAGTTGCCTGTAGATTCGATATCAAGTCACCTCCAACAGCCTCACGCACACCACCAGCATTTGTCAAAGCTAATTCGGTCCAATTGAACTTTGAAAGAAACGATGTAAGATTCTAGATCTAGATCTAGATCTAGACATTGTTTGTTCCGAACTTCCGATAATTAAATCTTCTCAGACAGTTGCGAATCTCATTTCTCTTCTGAAATGACAAATGTTGATCGGGTAATTGACAATTCTACAATTTCTTCCCAGATTAGAACAATGGCAGGATTTAAGCATTCAAAACTGAGAAATATCAGCCCGAAGAAGAAAGAAAAAAAAGTTAGTAGATTTCTAGACTCCTACCAAAAAAAAGAAGATTTTTTGACTGACCGACTCGTGTTATGGCACCTAAAAAGGGCAATACAATATCTTTTTTTTTTAAATGATTAAGCCTTATAAAATACCTTATAAAATACCCCCAGTTCACTGTCTACTTTTATGAGTTGTCCGTCCTCCCAAGGATTTATTGTTCATAATGTGAAAGTCTCTGTGCTGCATAAGTGATTTTGGAGCCTCATCAATGAATCTGTTTTTTACATTGCCAATTGCAGATCGGTAACCGTAGGTATGCACAAAAATGTGGAAGATCCTTATTTTTCAGGATACGATTTGTCACTGTTTACAAAGATATCCTTGTTTATGTGGACGATCCTTCATCATCATCATCATCATCTAGTACGGGTAGAAGGCGTTGGCCTGTAATTCCCGGTCACTGCTTCTAGGTTTAGCCTTTTGGATTTATTACTGAGTGTATGCGCATGCACAGGAGTGGAGTCATGGGAGATCAAAGCGATACTCCCACCAATGCTTATCTATGTGTCTTTTGAATTTGTCCGTTGTTGCCAAGACCACTATATTTTCTGACAAACTGTTCCAGTCTTGTATTATTCGTCTGCTGAAAGACTTACTTCTAACATCCAGTCTGCAGTGTTCTTTCTGGATCTTGAGACAGTGCCCTCTCGTGGATCTGCTTCTACTTGCAGGTTGGGAGAAGAAATGATCTTGTGGGATGTCAACTAATCCGTGCATGATCTGGTGGACTGCGATCATGTCTCCTCTTCTTCTTCTGTAGAACAGAGAGTACATGTTCATGTATTTAAGTCTTTCTTGATATGGGAGGTCCTTGATTTCTCGAACCAATTTGTTAGATCTTCTTTGCACTCTTTCGATTTTCTTTGCATCTTCTTTAAATCTGCTATGCCAAAGAACACTCCCATATTCTAGGTGTGGTCTAATTAGGGTCTTGAATAGAATCGGTAGTGTTGTCGTATCCAGTTTGGAGAAAGTTCTTTTCATTATTCCCAGTAGTTGGTATCCCTTACTGACCGCTGATGATACATGTTGATGGAATTTCAGCTGGCAGTCAATTGTCACTCCTTTTCAGCTTTCACTGATTGCAGAAGTTTCCCCTGCATGTGGTAGTTGAACACAAAGACCAACTACATACAGCTTACCTTATTCTTGGACCAGCTCCCTTATTAATTAGTCAAAACTTCCAGAACATTCTTTTTAAAAAAATGCTCTAGAATCTAGTTGAGTTTAAAATGACTGAAAAAGATACAAAAAATGCTCAAAAATACCTTCTTGATGCAGAATAAATACATGTAGACTAGGGTCAACATTGAAGCTCATTTGGTTGAATTTTAGGCATTTTTTCAGGACAATGCAATCCTTTTTCTAACTGTGTACTTGCAGTTTAGAAGTGGAGGTATTGCACCGTACATACACATGTTTAGGATGTTATGGAATTTTTTATATCAGCTTTTTTTTTTCTTTGTCTCTCAGGTGAGTTTCTGTCAGCCAAAAAGCTAGCAGCTGACGATGACGGCTCAGATTGCCTGGTCTAGGCAGGCAGTGCTGGGACTCTACAGGAGATTGTTAAGAGAAGGCACAAATCTGCGGTACACTGATCAGCATTACTACAAGAGGTGCATTCAGAAAGAATTCCGTGCTCATATAGCAGAGAAGGGCCAACCTGAACAACAGAGGCAGCTGGATGTAAGTCAATTGTTGGAATAAAGATGGAATATGTAATGGAGTATTAAGCATTTAAGCTACAGATACACAAGTACTGGGTATTTTAAGATGAATTATCCATAATTCAACATTTTTTATGTTTTGAAAGTATTTTAAATATTTCTAATGCATTGCCTACAGGAACTAAGTGGTATCTAAATTCAGTATAAAGCATTGAGAGAAATCAGAAGTCGACAGCGTGGCTGGGTCTGTAGGTTTTTTCTTAAAGATTTGTATTAATGTTCAATTAGTCTCTACACCATGCATATTGATTAGGATATTCAACTTGTCTATTATGTAGATGGCTAAAGAAAGGAATACATAAGCCACTGTTGATTATCTTTGGGAATAAGTTGCTGCCAGTTGCAAATTAAAAAAATAAAGTTGTGCTACATGAACAAAATTGGTTTGATTGTTTAATGTTTTACGGTTCTTTGCCTTATTCTACTTTTAGCGAGGGTTCTACTTTCTTCACAAGAAGCTTGGAGGTCTTGTGTGACAGCACTAACTGCATACTGATTTCAATACAGGTAATACATTTAATAGTGCAATATATCCAACTCGCAAACTATTGACATGATATAGATAATGTAATCAGAAAATATATAACCAATGGACTCTACTAATCAGTAATACCTCTTAGATGATAGTGGTGCCTTAATTCTACCTGTGTAAAAAGTGTTGAAATTTTGTAATGGCTTCTCCTGAAATTCAAAATGAAAATAGATTTGTGAGTCTATTCTAAATTTTTCGAAAATACATCTGGAAAAGTTAGAGATTTTATGTAGATGGTTTAATTTTTCAGTGTATGGACATTTTGTATTTCTCAAATTTTGATATGTGTAATACATAATATGTTCAGTAACCTTACATTTCCAAATGATAATAAGTAAATGATCTGTCATTTCCAAAACTTGGCTTTTTTGGACTTATGCATCTAAAATGTAATTTATAGATTGTTACTATGTGCTGTGAGTTCTATGCTGTTCACTTTGCTCTTTTTTATTACAGATACCTAGCTATCAGGGGAGAAGTGTTACCAATAGCCTATCATCATGGATGGTAAAACAGGTGATTCATTAATCAAAAGCATGTATTCTGATGGCACACTTAGGGAACCAAGTGACATCTTAAAGACTCTGAAAGAATTTACACTAGGTGCAAGGGAGAGCTCATTCAGGGAAACCTTGACTCTACACAACGTTCGGTTCTTGACCGATTACTTTCAGCAGTGTGTAGAGGCTCTAACGAGTCAGCAAGTCTTCAATGTTGAATGTTGCACAGAATGTCTGAGGTGTCTTCGGAATGCCTGCGCCCAGTGTGTGGAAAACCAGGAGGCAGTGCTGAGGTCATTAGCAATCCCAGCTGTACGGCAGCTTCTGAGGTATCTTGTAGAGACAGTGTCATTGGAAGAGCAGTATCTTGTATTGTTGAGATGTTGTATTCAATTCCTGACTAATCTAGCCAGCGGTCATGAGGCTGGTCAGAGGGCAGTATGGAAGGACATCATCCACGACTTGATCCATCCTCTTTTGTGTGTTCCTGATGGAAAGCTAAACCAGTACTCCTGCATGCTTCTGCAAACTGTCCTGCAATGCTCGGATAACATTATAAGTTTTGCAGAGACTGTAGATGCTTCGGAAAGCATGGAGGCTGTATTGGCCGCCTGTTCAGAGGAAAGTGAACATGACTTCTGTCTCCAGCTTGTGAAGTTAATGCTACAGTCCTCTGTCATCACCTCTTCCTTATTTGACAAGCTTAGCATCTCCTCACAGATTCTCTTACTCCACATAGCTGGTGCCTGCGTTTCCTCCGAGTCACGACAGCAGCATCCAGAGGCGGATAATGCCATATCTGATTCAACACTATCGTGCTTTGCCAAGAAGTTCAAAAGCACTGCTCACTGCATCCTGGCCCTTGCCATGAAAGATCGTGATGAAGAGGACCAGAATCCTCAACTTGTGATGTCTCTCTTGGAAGTTCTCTGTGCAGCATCTGCTGAAACGGACCTTCAGCCATTCCTACAGGACATGGACTTTGTCCTGGAAACGAGTCTGGGGCTGCTAGATATGGTGGAGCAGGTGGGACGTAGCAGCGACAATGCCTTCAGCGTCAGACAAGACGGCGCTGGAACTGGAGATGACGCTTCTTTAGCTGCAGAGCCAGGATACGGCTTCAAGAGAAACCTGGTGCAGCTCATTGGGAATATGTGCTTCCGCCACAGAGGAAATCAGGATAGGGTTCGAGAACTGAAGGGAATTCCTACCATACTCCAGCAGTGTAACATCGACAGCAAGAATGCATTCATCAACCAATGGGCCATACTGGCCATCCGTAATCTTTGTGAGAACAATCTTGAGAACCAGGCCTTTCTACTTTCTCTCAAGAGCCAAGGTGTTGCAGACAACGAAGCCTTGGGGAGGTTAGGATATGAAGCAGCCTTGAGGGAGGATGGTCAAATATATTTGAAAAATTTGAAGAAGTAAACACTGCAGTCTATCAGGGCAGCATTTCACAAGCTGACAAACCATTGAATAGCATGTATTGAATTTAACACTTTTAGATAGGATGTTCAGGCTTTCATGAAATGATGCCTTGTAATAAATGTACAGGGGTATGTTTCTATGAATACAGTTCATTCTCCCACAGGTAACGTCTCAACAGATCATTTTCATTTTGGTTTGTTTAATATGATTGCTCCCTGTGTGTTTATCTTTCACCCTTACTGCACTGGGCTGTGCAGAGGCTCTCCTGATGGATAGAGAAGGAGGTGGGCCAGGCTCAGAGGCCTGTCTGATCTTTGCCACATCATGAACAATCACATAATTCATGTACAGTAAAGGAAAATATATGCATGATATTCTCTTCTATTGATAATCGAAGAAAAGCTCTTGGAAATCATATTCTTGTGCAAATGTTCCATTTAGCACAAACATACACTGTGCATGTATGAAGAAAAACATTGGGATTTGTTTTCTGTTGTTTTACAAGTTGTTTTAGTTTGGCTGAGCAACGGTTTTATCTAAATCAATATGCTCAGAAAATAGTTGATAATCAGAGTTAGAAAAGAAAATATAGTGACTTTCATAAAAGGTATGTACCTATTGCTGATGCACTCAAAACAAAGCGCTTCTCCATTCTTGGGCCGACATTACGCCACAGTGGTAGGTGCCATTAAAAAGAGTTGATATACTAACAAAAAAAGGGAAGATTTGAGACTATAAGTCAGAAGTGGTTTGTTATGAAAAACGGAAGTTCAGATGAAATAAAATCAATATTTTTAACTTAAGATACATTACAGAAATCAATGACACAGTCTACTGTAATGGAGACTGATAAAGAGAGAAATAAATTTCAGATTGAAATGTATAAACGGCTGTGTGTACACTTATTATATGTTGGGAAGCAATGAGCAAAAGAGGACAGAAAATGTAGAAACAGAGTTAAAGAGAGAGAGAGAGAGAGAGAGAGAGAGAGAGAGAGAGAAAGAGAGAAAGATGGGGCTGGAGGTGGGGTTGGGGAGCTGGTGTGAAGAGAGAGTGGTAATGAGATTCTGAATATGATACATTGTAGATGTAATCAGAGAGAGGGAGCAAGACGGGCAGATTCAGAAAGAGAGACTGAGCAAAAGGTGACAATTTCTTGTTGATATTCATAAATTTGAAGATTGATTAAGAGAGAGGGGGAGACAGACATACAGACGACAGATTAAGAGAGAATGAGTAAGATGGAAATAGATACAGATAGGATTAGAATGAAAGAGGGGAGAGATGTGAACACAATCTGATTTGTAGAGGGATATCATAAAGAGAAAGAATTTTGAGATGCATAAATAATATTTTTGCCAATAATGTGCATGTTTATACATTATAGAAGAGGGCATGTAGAGATGGAAGGGGGAAAAAGGAGTGGAGGTGGGAGATAGTAAAAAGAAAAACGGATGGACAACAATTTCAAATTTTCTGAATTTTTAGGAAATATTGGTATTTTAAATGGTCTTTGTTTATCTTACCCTTAGTACTCCTCTCTGTACCTCTGTTCTCTTAACTCTCCCTTGCTCACTTCACCTCTAACCTTATTAGCTCTCTTCTAATGTCTTTATCACCCCCTTACCTCTGTTTCTCTGTTTTCCCTGTCTCTGTCTGTCTGTCTCTCTCTATCTGTCTCTCTCTATCAGTCCCTGTCTATCTGTTTCTCTGTCTCTGTTTGTCTGTCTCTCTCTCTCTCTCTCTCTCTCTCTCTCTCTCTCTATTTCTCTATATATGTCTCTCTCTCTGTCTCTTTCTATCTGTCTCTATCTATATGTCTCTCTCTCTCTCTCTCTCTTTCTCTCTCTCTCTCTCTCTCTCTCTACCTGTATCTCTCCATCTCTCTCCATTTGTCTGTGTATATCTGTCTCTGTCTATCTCTATCTGTCTCTATCTCTCTTTCTATCTATCTCTGTATATCTGTCTCTCTCTGTCTCTGTCTATCTATATCTGTATCTCGATCTCTATTAGTCCCTGTCTATCTGTCTCTGTATATATCTCTGTCTCTGTCTCTGTCTCTGTCTCTGTCTATCTGTCTCTCTCTCTCCCTCTCTGTCCATCTGTCTCTGTCTATCTCTATTTGTCTCTCTCTCTCTCTCTCTCTCATTCTCTCTTTATCTCTCTCTCTTTCTTTCTCTCTCTATCTATCTCTATATATCTGTCTCTGTCTATCTGTCTCTCTCTCTCTGTATATCTGTCTCTCTCCATATCTGTCTGTGTCTATCTCTCTCTCTCTCTCTGTATATCTCTCTTGCTCTCTCTCTCTCTCTCTCTCTCTCTCTCTCTCTCTCTCTCTCTCTCTCTCTCTCTCTCTCTCTCTATCTGTCTCTGTATATCTGTCTCTCTCCATTTGTCTGTGTCTATCTGTCCCTCTCTCTGTATCTGTCTCTCTCTCTCTCTACTTGTCTCTTTCTATCTGTCTCTCTTCATCTGTCTGTGTCTATCTGTGTCCATTTGTCTCCCTCTTTCTCTCTTCCACTGTTTATCCCACTAGTATTCATACTTTCCCCAAAAGTTATTCATATTCCATTAAACAATTGCCATCAATTAAGTTTTGTAATAAACAAATTCTTTTTAATGACCGTTTGATATGCATACAATCTGTACACGAGGAAATGTCGAGGTATGGTGGTTCGTTTACTTTTACTCTCAATCCCTGTTTGGCACTAATGTCCTTTTGCAAGAAAAAAATAATAAAATCATTATAAATTATAGTTCTAACATAGTCCTAACATTAAACAAAACACAATGAAAAGAAGTGATGAAATCACACCCAGCAGTTCCCAGAGCTTGAATCTTCTGCCATACTCTGAAATTTAATGCATATAATATTTAAAAAAATGATAGACCTAAGGATGCAAATTAAAATGGTTTTCATTAAGGAAGTAGTTTGGAAACATTAGATTTAGAACAGGATCATATATGAATTTAAAAGATTCGAATATCTCATAAAAGTGATCTATAAAACAAATCTCAAGACTCGATTGGATAGTTGCTTGATAAATAAAATATATACATACATATTAAAAACTTATATCAATAGCTTTTAAGAAGAAGGAGGAGCTAGAGGAGGAGCAGGAAATGAAAAAGAGGAAGGAGAATTGGATCGCGCGTACGTGCGCCGGAGAAGAAGGAGAAGGAGACAATCATGATAACAATGATAAGAATAGTAATGATAATACTACTAGTAATAAGAAGAATAAGAAAAAGAAAAGAAGGACAAGGACAGGAAGGAAAAAATGAATACGTAGGGGATATAGCTGACATTGTGTAATTAACTGTAGACTGATGTGATTTTATATTTTTTAAAATTTGTATCAATTATAGATCTATTGAAACTTTTCTGGGGCTTTCTTTACTTTTCCGGACGTTGCATAATATAACTCTGTAATCCTGTATATAGTGTAAATTTCCTTTGTATTTACCTTGGCATTGAAATTGTCTGTTTCGTCATTAAATAGTTGCAATAAAATAAATGAATTCCTTAGTCGGAATTTGACTTCTCAAGAATACCATAATTTGTTTATTTTATTGAATGAAGTTATAGTTGTAAATAAAATAGCCTGCCAACTTCACCAGTGACCTACGTGTAACAAATGACAATTACAATTTTTCATCTTCATTTGTTGTGAAAATCGGTATAGTCTGATCACAATCATGTTTAAAAAGATGAAAAAGCAGATAGAGGAGAAGGAGTCAAAGTCTCCTCTTCGTCCTCCAGACCAAAAGAAGGGAATAAACCAGGTAATCACGACCAGCTTGTACGATATTTTTAAGCGTCCAGTCCGATGCACTGTTATCTCCGTGTTGTTGCTTTTCTGTGGAGCGCACGCCCACCGGCATCGGCCTCAGCATGCCCGTGGACTGTGTCGGCGGGGTGGCGCTGGGGCATGGGGCGGGGCTCCACTAGCCCATGCACTCTAGATTTGGGCTTGACTTGGGGTCTCCATTGATCAAGATTGTCTCTGTTTTTATCTTGAATTACTTTGTCAAAATGCTAAACGATCTATTAACATGAATTGATTAAAATGTTTGCAGGTATTGAAAATGAAACACCTAAAAATAAATTTAGTAAAAAGATGTGCGATCAGCGATGGATAGATAAACAGTAATCTATGCTTTGCTAGAGTGGTCTAGACTAGTGTCAAGTCTAGATCTAGAGCAATAAAAAAAATCACAATGTCATTGCATTATGAGATACTGTCTGTACAGGGCAGTGTCTCACAAAACCGTCATAAGTACAAGTCCAACGACATCCCATTGAAGTGCGTGTATTATTAAGTTAAACATGCATTTCAGTGGGATGTCGACGCGAGTCACGCGATGAACTTAATTTGATTGTTTAGTGAGACACTGCCCTGGTATGATAATCAGATTGTGCAAATCACGCTTTTTGTGCACTACTACTAATAGGCATTAATATAATGAGTGAATTACTAATGAGATTGTTGTGAGCGAATAGATCAGTGTCTGTCTATGACTACTTCTACTTCTACGTCGATACTTGACAGGTTCCATAAGTTAGGATATAACGCCAATGGTACTGGGTTGTGCAGGTGGACCACTTATACAAACAGTGCAGTGGGTTCTTAATGTGCAAGGGTTTTGACTCTCTTGTACACGGGGCCTCCATTTAACATCCTTTCCGAGGGACGGAGTGTTTTCCACTTTACATAGCCTGCGTCTATGAAACAAGGGGAGGGGCACGTTAACACACAACGCAGGCTTCAGTCATCCGCCTGGGTGGGATTCAAACCCGAGATCTTTGATTCGACAGGCCCATGATTGATGATAAATTATTTGATAAAATTGTGTGGAAACCACGGACATAAATAATAATTCTAACACACCTTCATTCAGATAGTAACCAATTAAGATTTTGTTCATGCATTGCCATATGACTTGTTTTTGATAAACTCCTTTTTCTTTATTCATACATGTACATGCTTGTTTTCTACCTACATGTACTATCAGGGGCCTCAGGGCTTTTTTTAACTTGCCTTTTTATGTAAATGCATAAATACATTGTAACATGACTAATTCAACCATACATGAAAATACTTAATTAACAGCATTTTAACCAGAATCCCTGTGTGATTAGAAAAAAAATGAATACACTGTAGTTGAAATGTGTCCTTGTTCAACTCTTTGTTTGTACATAACTAACAGCCTGTCAAGTCCCCTGGTGTTGGGAATACCAGTACTAGTTCCACTCCGTCTTCAACACCAGAATCCAAACACGATCGGGACTCCCTAAACTCCAGAAGACCCCAGGTATCATACACATTAACAGTTGTGCATCATGTACCAGCAAATACCATCTACATGTATTGTGTGTGTGTGTGTGTGTAATTGGGTTTTTACAGATGTGTATCAATCAGATATTTTTTATTGTTTATTTGACATTTCAAACATACAATTTAGAAGGTACAATATAATGGCACATAGGATACTAAGTATGCAAGGAAAAAATTGACTTCCCTTCTGCACCTCTTAATAATAATAATAATAATAATACATGAGATTTATATAGCGCCATTATCCATTTTAATTAAATGCTCAAGGCGCTTCAAAATATTAGGGAACACGTTACATCATGACAAAGAATCGTGTACATTTACATAAGAAAGAAAATGCAAAAATGAAAGAATGAATGTCTGTCTTCAAAACGCAAAATTAAACAAATGGGAAGTTGCTTGGAAGAGAAAAAGAAATGATATGATATGAATTATGATTATGATATGATTATTTACATCTGAGGAATGACCTTTAACGTCACCATCCAAAAGACATTCATCTAGATTATAACCTGGTTTCATCTTTGCCTAGGACGTTTCAGTTCATGAAAGAAAAAATACTTTACCCGGTAACCCACAAAAATGATTATGAATAAACAAAAGTTTTTCTTTTTATTCTTTTGCAATTTTTAAGTTTTATAATTCTTCATGCCATTTGATGTTGCCCATTCATTTCTTCTGTGTCTTCATGTATCTATTTTAAAACTTATTATTTGCTCTCTCTTTCTCTTCTGTAAATGTCACATTTTCATTTGAACCATGCACAATCATATCTTAATACATTTGGTTTGTAGTTCAGTTTCATAACTTATTTACAGAAATAAAACATGTACATGATGTACATGTATGCAACAATAACTTGAAAATATACTGTATCAATATAATGATCTTTACGAAATTTACTTTATTTTTTGTATCTTGTACAAGTTCTATATTAAAGTAATTATATTGCAATTTTAAAAGACTACCAACCAAAGAGAGATAGATCTGGAAAGTGGATTGGACTGCAGAATCGAATGCATTTGCCAGTAGATCCGGTATTTAAATGATAAGGAAGTAATGGTATTTTTATCCTTTGTTACTATGATCCTAATTTTTTTCCCTTTCTTGTTGTACACCAGACTCCAAATGATAAGACACCAACCGGTGCTGAAGCCAGACCCAGAACCCCCTCTACCAGTACTAGTCCAGGAACCCCAAACCAAGGACCTCGGTCACAGATCAATACATCATCAGCACCTGAGGCCGAACAAGCCATCATCAAGCAATCTGCTTCCCTGGTAAGTGGCTCTTTACTTCATGTTAGGTAGAATGTTACAATGGCATGATGTATTGTATTACAAAGTTTGCAGTCAAAAACAGAGATGTGTGTGATTTCTTCTAAAAAGATGTAGAAGTTTTCTTCTATTACACCTGTATTGAGATCTAATAGCGGCTTTGCTTGAAAATGGATCCTGATTAGCTATTGCTGCATTTACATGTAATTTCTAAAGTAAATTTAATTTAAAACCTCTTAACTGCTTTAAACTAACCTTGAAGACTCAAAGCCAAATACAGTGCCAATTGGCAAGGCAATCATAATCATTCTCAGTTATTACTTACACCGTTTATACTGAGACGTGTCGCTGTAATGGACTTATGGACTTACATCTTCTTTTGTTTTACATATAAGCAATCGCTAGCTTTGCAACTGAGGTAAAGAACATAAGATTGATATTAAAAATACTAACTTTCAATTTTCCATATGCAGGAGAATGCTGCCACCCCACCCAGGTCTAAGCAAGCTGCACCCCCTTCCTTGGGGGAAAGCCCCCTCTTTCCCCAATACCAGGCCCCAGCCAGTGTCTATGAAGCCCCCTCTGATACAGAGAGTGAGATGGAGGATGCGGGCTTGAGTATGGATGCTATGAGGAAGGAGGAGCTCTTTCAACGTTACAAGGTTATGGAGAGAAGCTTGGGGAAATACAAGGGCAGATACAAGGAGGTGAGTATGTGGGACTATGTAGTTTTAGATTGTTTATTTCACCCATTGCCTGTTATAATGATAATATCAAATATTTAGGAGCGCTAAAAACAGTAAGTACCATAGTGCTTACAAATACAATTATATGAAAAGAGGACAAAAAATGTACAGTCTCACAGGGAGTAGATCACATAGATCACCGGGGAAAAAGGTGAGTTTTGAGGGATCTTTTGAAGGTGGCAAGACAGGTAAATTCCCTTATGGAAAGAGAGATGCTGCTCCAAGTCTTTGATGCAGCTACTCTAGTTACTGTATGACTGTAAAATCAAAAATGTTTGATGTATGAAAGTTTGGGAAGTCTTTGAGTGGTCAAGATTCATGTAAACTTCATGCTGCGAAAGATATGAATTACTACTGGTACTACATGCAATCAGCGACGATTTCTTTTCACAGAAAAAGCTATTACCGGTATAGACAAATAGTAAAGTTTTCTGTTTTACAGTCTTGTTTTAAATTGGAATGAGAGAATTCAAAAGCCAACAGATTCATGTACGGTACCTGTCCTATGATCATCAGTATGTACATAGTTACCTGTATCCTTGCAATAATCACAATCTGTGGAAATATGACAATAATTATAATCCAATGAGAGCTACATTTAAACACTCATGCACATAAAAATACTGAGCTGATATGAGTTGTATTTCAAGATGAATGAAACTTGGAATGAAACTTGGAATGATCATTAAATGTCCATAACTATTTATATTTTCATATGTACACATTGCATTGACTCTCAATGTTTTGAATAGATTTATCACAAGTGCAATTTTCTCAAAATTATTTGCAGGTGACAAGTGCTTACAGAGACTTACAGAAGGAAAATGAAAAAATTAAGGTAAGGCGAACTGGTCAACAGGATTGTAATATATGGTTGTGTTTGCTGTGAAATATTTCCTGCAATAAATCACTTTTTAATCACATTATGTATTTAATCACATTATTTGCAAATATAGGATTCAGTATTATTGCTTTACTAGAGAGTTTTCTTTAGGCAATTTTGATGCATTTCAGTGGACATTTTGGATAATGTGATCTTTCTCTGTTTGTGATTATGCAATCTGTAATCAAATACCAACCATGCAAGACTCACAAGGTTGCTACATTATGGACTGTGTAATCAGAAAATCAATTCCAATTCAATGACGATGGTTTAACCCTTCTCTTTTCTCTTAATCTCTCTCTCTAGAATATCATGACACAAACTCAGGATAAAGCTCTGAGGAGAATATCAGAACTCAAAGAGGTGAGAACCCAACTCAGTTCAGATGTTTCCTTGGAGGATTCTTTATTGAAGATGTTTCAGTATGAGTAATCTTGAATTCTGGTCGAACCTACATGTACATATGAATAATAATAATAATAATAATATTTAGTTTTTATATAGCGCTTAATACAAATGTCTCTAAGCGCTTTACAAATACACTATTACCCCGGTCATTGGATTCAGTGCTTGCCCGCACACACTGTGTGCACAATCTCCCCTCAAATAGCTAAGCCACAGTTGATCTTATAAAAGTCTGAATAGCAGTGAAAAGAGACACATAATTAACATCACCAATTTGTCCTCCTTAAGCTTTCCCTGGATATTGTAATCACTTTCCAATCTCAACCATGTACACTGTAGATTTGGAGTAAATCACATATTTGGGAATATGTATACATCTGACATTATATTATCAATAGTGTAGCACTCGCACAGTACTTCATTTGAAGTTTTACACAACAATATCACCACCAAAAAGTTTTCCCCCTCATCTTAATCGTATCTGTTAGGCAGCTGAACTGGACAGGGGAGCCAAAGTCCACATGGAAGAAACATTCCGGTTATCTCTCGAAGAGAAAGATGAGATGGTTAAAGTACTACAAACACAGGTAAGCTAGATCATTACTGCATCTGAGGGGTGTTTCTCAAAGCCTTTTTTTTCAATGAAAATGACTAATATCAGTGACAAATCTGCTGATAACCAATCAGAAGCAAGGATTTCAGTAGCTTATAACAAAAACTGTCATACATGTATGTCACTGATGACAAGCTTTGTGAAACGGGTCCCTGATGTGATCCATAGCTGATCCAACGTGTGCTATTCCATCACCATCTCGAACTCAATATTAGTTTTAACCCTTTCAGGACTAGATTTATTTTTGTAGGGCTAAATTGGTTGCATATTGTTCTTCAAATTTGTAAAATCAATATTTTTCTTCTACTGCTACATTGTTTTATAATGAAATGTAATATTCCTGTAAACAATCAACATGGATGTGAAAAAGGGCAAATTTACTTTTGTAAAATATTGATCTCTGAACACATTGCCAATTTTGGGATTATAACTATCCTTTTTTTTAAATTTCTGGCAAAAGCAATATAGTCATGAAACAAAAAAGCATATGCTTTTAAAAAATTTCCCTTTCCACTCACTTGTTTTTATGGCTCTGAATCAAAAGTTATTGAGCCAAACCACATATTGTGGAATGATGGTTGCGAAGCAGTTAACATCACTTTTTAAATATTTTGTTCAGTCCCACAAAAATTCTTTGAAAATTATATCAAATAATTGTTTAATGAAATGCTATTCCATTACCAGAACTCAAGATTATATATCCTTACAGTGTACATGTCTTTCTATGTGTTTTATGTACTTTTGTTTAAATCTTCCATGCAACAGGTTAAATTATTGAAAACAGGAAAGGTTGTTGATGATGTAGATGGTGCTGATAGACCCCCTGCAAGCCCCTCTACTCCAGGTGAAGGGGATGCAGCTACTACTGAAACAGTCAATAACCTCAAAGAAAAGGTGAACTAAAAAATATTATTTGAATTTGAATTTATTGATTCATCTGTCATTCATAAGAAATTCTGTTGCCATTGGTTGAACAATAAACAGCAGAATTGTGCAGCACAAAGAAGTGTACAATGACTGTGATCACATAACAGAAGAAAATACAAATGAAGTTTTAAGGAAGTTACAAAAAAACA